TGTAAGTACATAGTAGTTAAGGCCACCTAATATAAAGTGTGACCAAAAATTCAATAAACAGAAACGCAGTGAGAGAATCATCATGTAAATAAAATATACATTCAACTTCATGATACTCACACAGGGTCAAAAGTCACAGCAGGTCCATCACTGAAAGCAGGGGGCTTATTCATGGAGTTGTTACTCTTCATAGACACACAGCTGAATCCTGGAGATGCTGCTCTCTGAGCGTCAACATCACTGAAAGCAGGGGGCTTATTCATGGAGTTGTTACTCTTCATAGACACACAGCTGAATCCTGGAGATGATGCTCTCTGAGTGTAAACAGGAGCCTCCTGCTCTCTCTCCTCATACACACTCATTTTATAAGCAGGTTTCTCCTCCTCTCTCTCCTCATGCACACACGCTTTACAGGCTGTTCTGCTTATCTTTTTTTCCTAGATGAGCGACTTGATTTCAGGCCTATATGTGGAAACAGAGAAAATACACTGAATTTTTACACAATTGAGTTTCAGTGCAGGCTGGTGCTCAGAAGTGAGGAGGCAAAGTGACTAAAGTGCCTGGACGCCACGCAGTCATGGTTTACAGTACTTTTAGAGCAGTTAAGGGCTGTTGTTATGCACGAAGCACAAAACCCAGATGCAGTAACACACTTTTGACACAGTAATATAGGGATAATGCTAATAATGATCCAACAGAATTACTAAGAGCGGAGATCCTCATCACATAATTTCTTTAAAAATCTGATTCTCACAAGGAATAACAGTCAGTATATAATGCTTGCTTTTCTGAAATGAGACATCCTTGTTGATGTTTGAGGCCAATAAATATACACTCTGGAGGGCACAGCCTTTGAAATGAGACACATAGTGAGATATTCAGCTGCAGACCCCCAGTATCAGCAGTTTCAGGACAGCAGCAGCGTCAGGGCAAAAGTGAGGGCAGAGACAGGCCATGTACACATTGTAAAATTTCAGGAGTAAAAACCGCATTTAAATATGAGAGTGAATCCTCTAAATCAGGGTTCCTCAAATCTTACCCTGGAGGTCCAATGCGCTGCAGAGTTTAGCTCCAACCCTGATCAAACTCAGCTACCTGTGATTTTTCTAATGATCCTGAAGACATTGATTAGCATGCTCAGGTCTGTTTGATTAGGGTTAGAGCTAAACTCTGCAGGAAAGTGGATCTCGTGGGCCAGATTTGAGGGTCCCTGCTCTAAATGATCAATTTGTGTGTACGGAACAGAATTCACTCTCAAAATTTTACAGGCCATGTACACACTGTAAAATTTCAGGAGTAAAAACCGCATTTAAATATGAGAGTGAATCCTCTAAATGATAAATTTGTGTGTACGGAACAGCATTCACTCTCAAATTGTGATGATTGATGCATTATAACCATAGAAACGTTCTGAATTCTCACACTTTTGGTATGAGCTATGGGAGTTATGGGCAACAGACTTCTGTATTCTGTAAAACAGGTCACATCACATCCGGTTCAGATCTTTTGTATGCGTTTCATTAAATACTGAGCTGTTTTACTCAAGATGCGTTCAGAGGAGATACCAAAGATAATCATAACCGATGTCCATCACACATGCATTGATATTAAATTTTTTTCTTCTTCTTACTAACATTCTAAAACATTAAAATGGAAAAAAATAAATAAAAAAAAGGCAACTGTAAAAAAAACTAGCTAGGTTAGCTGATTACCTTAAACGTCCCTAGATGTTGTCATCAGTTCATACTGCTGTTAACAGTTTTCCCGAAAAGTGGATGCAATGAGACATGTTATCTGGTTTGGTCAGCTGTCATAAAAGTAATTATAGTTTGCAGGTATTGGTCTCGATATTTCACAATGGGGCTTATTTCCAAGATTAAGCATTTTCTTCTTTTTCTAGCTAGATCTGGCAACACAAACAAGTCAAGACGTACCTCGTTCCCTGTGCTTTCTCGCACTGTGTATACAGAAAACTGACAACACCGAAACATGTTCACATATGTCATTAACAACTAGTTGTTGGGAGTCAATTCGACACACGACATGTACACTATTATATGTGAACAAAGACTCTGTGGTGGTGCTGGATGAAACCAGATTTAATGGCTCCATGTAAACTGAAGTCTTGAGGTAAACTGTACCCAATGGAAAATGCAAGCATTTCAGTCCACACAGCACCACCCCATATGGTTTTACCACTAAAGCTGTAGGAATAAAAACAACAACAACAACATGTGACACTAAAACAGGCTGCTAAAGGGGGCCCTTGGGTTTTCTATAGCCAGGGCCCTATGTATTCTTAATCCAGGCCTGTTTGTGAATTTATGGTACATATAGATTGACTTTTGAGCGCTCATCATTTTATTTTAGCCTATTATTATTATTATTCAAACTTTAATTTTTCAAAGTTGAGATCTTAATCATATTAACCTCGTTTTCAGGGATGACATGGAGTTCTTTCTGAAGGAATGCTAAGACAAAATTTGCTTATAAAGAGGATCTCGTGCATCAATCGCAGTGTAAACAGTGACAGATCTTGAGGCAGGTGAAAATCGTTTGGTTAATTTGAATATTGGCCTATTGTGCATCCTGTTGCCAAGCCCCGCCTTGATGTAATGATTGACAGGTCAGGAGCGTGATGAGCTCGGAATGCAATGTCAAATCCACATTGACTTAAACTACATTAATCGTGGGGTATTTAATGAAAATGCAATTTAAACGTCTTACGTGTAAGTGTCAATGCATTTATAAAAAATAAAAGACATTTAAATCACTATTTTTCTACCCTTTAGATGCACCTTTGGCTCAGAATGCATTTTGAAATTCTCACTGCTTTTTGCTACAATTATCATGTGGTATTATGATGAAAATGCAATCCCACGTACTCTACCCGTAAGTCTAAATGCATTTAGGAAAAACAGCATGCCGCGGCACCCTGGTAGGGAAACACTGACGTAGACATGTGGGGCGTGTTTAAACGAGGTGTTTTAGGAGGGCGTGGACGAGTCTTAACTTTTATAAAGAATACTTCTTTGGGTTTGAGACTTTAGTCTTTGCAACTTCAGGGATCTTATCTATTCACGAACAGCTTGTAACACTCCAAAGAGAAAGGAAAACTTGAAATAGCATCATATGACCCCTTTAATAAGTGAGTCATTGCGATTGAACTGAATCATTTAAACGGTTGAATCATATGAATGAAGCACCATCATGTTGCTCAGAGACGCAAGACAGTGCTGTGGCTGTGTTTGGAATGATTATTCCATTCATTCATAATTCATATATAGAGACAGCAGCGATTCTA